CCCCCCAGCACCCGCAGCGCACGCCTCACCGTCGTTCGGGCTGCCCAGTCGCTCCAGTCGCCGACGCACTTCATCAGGTATTTTTGCAGGTGTGGAGGTGCCAAGGGGCGACGAGATCGCGGAAGGCTGGGACGATGCCTCTCTTGGGAATACGAGGGAATTACGGCGCGATAGGCCCTCCGGGTCTGTGGTAACTTGGGAGGATACGGAGACAATAGGGCCGTAATGGGCAAGTGTGTTGTGGGCTTCCTTTGAAGCAGGGACTTACGTGGCCCTGGACGTGTGTGGCAGTGTTGCTGTGCCCAGTGATAGCTGTGGGTTTGCGCGGGGTGGGCTAGAACGTGAGTCCAGTTCTGCTTGTAAAGGGAGCGTGCGTTTGTGTGTGGCTATTAACCTTGACGCATCCAGACCGCGATAATGAATCGATGTGAATTTTGTGCGAGCTGTCGCGGGTTTGCAATGCGCCCCTACTTTTATTTTTTGTTGTTGTTCGTTTCCCGCTGGGCGAATGGGTGGCCCCCGTGCACTCCCCACGCGGTGGGCGGGGCGAAGCGGAAATGGGCGGCGTGGGTGCAGGATGGCGCCATCACCGGCGCCGCCGTCACGTGTGCCGTCCCCGGTGCCTTTCTGCGGCGCGCTTCAAAAAGCAGCAATGGCCACCCCGCCGATGCGGCAAATTGGGGGCAGATGTGTGTGTGTGTGTGTGTGTGTGTGTGTTTGTGTGTTTGCTTTGCCCGGGTGCGCAGAGAGAAACGCGAGGGGGTTTCTACTAGCAAGTGCACTCCACAAGGTGGCAAAATACCTTCTTCCACGTGTGCAATTCGTTTGTATTTATTGTTTCTTGCTTTACTAATTCTCTCAACTGCTTTTGCGTCTGCTCGGTGCGTGCAACTTTTGTTTTCGCTTCAGCTCCCTCCCTGCGTGGCGTCACGCGGCGCCAGTTTCTTTTTCCACACGCACCTTCGCCGGTGGGGGGCGGCGGGGGAGGCGCTGGGCAGTGCGTGTCCGCGTGTCTAACGGCAGACGGTTCTTTCTTTTTTTCATTGAGTTTTATTTGTGCAACTGTGGGCCACTGCGTTGGCGTATGTGCACAGTAATTGTTTTTCTTTTATTTCTTTTTTTGCGCGCATGCGTGGGCCCCCCAGGCGGGGCCATCTTTTTTCCGTGGGGGGCGCCGGGGCCGTTTTCCCCCGCACCTCCCTTCGCCAGCCTTCGGCAGGCCGCTTGATAACTCAACGTGGCGTTTTTCCGCCGCCCGAGGCACCCCGCCACGCCACTGCACCGCCTTTTCCTTCGCGTTGCCTCCGCCGTGCGGGAGTAGAGGGTCGACGCTCACAAACACTCACACAAACAAACTCACACAAACTCACACGCACGTCTGCGCACGGCGAGTGTGTCATGGCCGCAGGCGTTGAAATGCGGGCGCGCTCCGCGGCGCGGACTGTCGTCCGGTGGGAGGCGCTGCTGCTGCTGCTGCTGCTGCTGCAGTGCCTGGGCAGCCACCCCGCCCTCGCCGCCGCTCTGGAAGATGGGCACGTGACGGTTAAAATCAAGAGGTACTTCAGCTTCCCCAACTCGGAGTTTGATAAATACGGAGGCGAGGTGTCCTACGCCAAGTCCGCCATGGTCTGTGCCCGCAGCGGAGGCTACCTTTCTGCGGATCAAACACCTGCTGCGCATCAGTCCATCACGGACAATTTGCGGCCGACAGGACGCCGCTTCGATGCGCTCATGTACACGTTCATGGGCGGCGACGCGGAGTACAGCGTGAACACGCAGCGGTGTACGCCAGGAATGCTAACGGCGTCCTTGGGCTGCGTCTACCAGTGGAATCAGGGCGCCTTCGCTGACCCGCTGGTCAGGGGCCGCGGTGCCTCGTTTTACAGGGGCTCACGGTTTAACGTCCCGGGCAACGGCCCGATGAACGGGTACACGCCTCACTGGGCCGTTATTAACCCTTATTTCGGCCAGCCTTATGTGCTATCGCGTCT